CAAGTTATCGCCATCCCATTCTCATTCCCAGTGTCAGCCGCCGAGATGCACCGAACCACAGTGATAACTCATGCGCCAATATTTTGGTAACAGAGAGAAAATAGAGTGTTTGATGCATTCGTGAGTGGCGGAAAGACGATCGGACAGAAGATTGCCGCAAACGACACCAGTATTTTATGCCGGCTTAAAAACTGAGCTTCCGACAGTTCAGTAAAGAGTAGGGACCTGAGCCCGGGACATTCCATTGTTTTCATCAATAAGGTGGCCATTCATGAGCCAAATGCGTTCATTGGTACAGATGATTAGGTCACAGGTTTGGAGATTAGGTTGAGGCGAAAAATGTTGGCAAGAAAACTGTGCGTAAACATTGTTCTCCTTTTTTACAAAGATTTGTATTCAGCCTCCGTGATTCGACCTTGCAGAGTTAGAAGTATGAAGGTGGGGCTTTGTCAAGACGCCAGACGATGGGGTAGTCACGACAACCAGGTGTGCTATCAAGTAGACCTTAGTCAGCTAAGAAGCAGTCCAAGTCATCGTGAACAGTCACGGTTCAACTTTCGATGCTCACCCATAGTCAAAACCCACGAAAGCAAAAATCGTGGTATAGCAACAGTCGGTATCTGCGAGATGACAAAGTCATTTCCATGGTTCTCCAGTTCGACACGGAAGTGAAGGAAATAGGTAAATGGGGTTTATATGCGCTCGTGTACTGCGAAGTTGGATCCCCTGTGTCTGACACATGACAAAGTGAAAGCTTCGGCTCCTGAAGTCGTTCTTCGTAGGCCAGCCGTCGGAAGGATCATAGAGTGATTGTTCACTTAAATCATGCGGAAAGGGCCGAATCACCATTCACATGGGGTTTCGCCGGTTGTGCGCGGCTTTCTAGCTTAGATCTAGTTGAGGATTTATGTGTGGGTGTGAGCACGTTTGCCTATCATCCCGGTGAGAACCCTGGGTAATTTTCCACTTACCATAAAACTCCTAGCTGTGGCAAATCAATAGTGTTCTGTGGTTTCCAAATCATGACTTACTATAGCTTGGAGGTCGTTGCCACTCAATACGGAGGGTAGGAAAATCCCACTAGCGTCATAGGTGTTGCTGTTTGCCCACTTCATGTGCATGGGTACAAATTCACAAGCGTTGACGGGCATTCTTCAATTCTTCGATCAGGTCAACGGAAATGTTCAGTTTTGCCCTAAGTTTACGCACACTTTAATTCTCGCTATTTCTTATCAGATTTTGCACTACCGGCGTAGAGAACCAAGGGGATTTCCCGATATTTGGGACTTCACGTGTGCGCAGGATGGACTGCAACGGACTCAGAGATATAATAAGAAGTATCCCACTCTGTGCCGACTTCCAAGATTAGAGTCACCCCTCATAATTTGTCTCCAATTGCTAAACGGGTCTTTGACACATACCAGCCAAATGCCAGTGAATCCGAAAACCGCTAGTTTTGTGAGCTCCTTGCAATGAGATATCTCGCCGAGGACCTTAATGAAGTCTGAGAAAGCAATATACAAAGGCTTCATGCTATACCTAGACAAAGTCCCTGTCTGAGGCAGGGTTATATGGTTGATTGCCCACCGGGGGGTAGCCAACATCGGGTTGTCTAGTCATGAGGGGTGATCAAATTTTATGGATCATCTTGCAGTGTCGGTCAGGTTTGGAGGTTCTCCATCGTGATGCACTGAAACAGATTTTACTTCGACAAAGCCAATCAGCCTCATTGCAGTGAAAAACGCTCAAAGAAAAGGAACGGCACAGAGGACTAAACAACATGAAGTTGGTTACCCTGAAAAGAGAACTTACTGCACCTAATCCAGTCCTACAGGAGGACAGTCGTGGTTCGGATGGCCCAGGGCGGCGTCACTGACTGCGGCACCGATCGACACAGGCTTCAATCCTAGGCGGGACGTGAGCGGTGTTGCGGTTGCTAATGCGTCCTGCCAAGGAATGTCGACAGGGAGAAAAACTGCTCCAGGGTGTCACACCAAGTGCCACTAACCAGCTAGCGGCCATCAAAGTGCACTGCCATGGTAGGCCTCTTGGCCTGGAAATTCATCGCGCCTGGACTACGTTCTGACAAACGATGATCTCATTGGGGCGCACGTATCCAACCTCCTCTTTACCTTAGTGACCACGCAATAGTAACTCCATGACTGCTGGGAAGGCACTGAAACCAGAGACACCTTCCCCTACTACAGCAAGGCCAGCTGTCAGGCCATGAGACACTACCCGATGAATGCATCAATGCCAGTGGACTGGACCCGTCCAACAACAGATGAACACCGGATACGGGCGAAGGAACTGGTAGCTGGGGCCATTACTCACAGCCTGCCAGGGGAAACACACAGACCATCAGCAAGAACTTCATGACTAAAGCGTGTGGCGGAGGGGCTGCTCCAGGGCAGGCAGCAGCCTTGATTCAGGTGGCCCTGATCACTCATGGAACCTGGCTTCCTGAGCCGCAACAGAATCCACGACCGCCACAATACGAAGGATCGTAGTGACAGGTTAAGCCATCAAACAAGACTAGTGAGGGGGGTTACAACGCAATCCCAGAAACCTTCGCCGCTTCATGCCGAAAAAGAAGTCGAAAGGTAATGAATCTTATCACAGGTCCTGACGGCAGTGTACTAGGCAGTTTAGATATGGCTGAACCTCTGAGCGCACAATTCCGAGCACCGATTCGATACGACGCTGACCAGACCACAAATAACCACTAACTCTGCCTTACCCCAGAAACAGAGAAAAAAGCGTCGGATAAACTATCTAGACTACCTCCATGCAAGTTTTCCGGCTGTAATGAGACCCTTAATCCTAAAAAAATGCATCAAGCTGCTTGCAGAGTCTATCTGCAACCTCTTCAAGTGTTCGACAGTAATGCAAACGCCCTAAAGAATGGAAGTGCACCGTCTTGTCACCCATCTCTAAGGGAGGAGACAAAAAGCTCCGGCAGCCGCAGACCAATTGCTCTACCCCCATACTGCCGAAAGTATTAGAAAGCCTGATGGTAGACGCTATCTGAAAACTCCTCAACAATAAAAACGTCGTCCACACTGCTCAACATGGCTTTCGGAGTGGTCGTCCATGTATCACCAAACTGCTAACTGCTCAGGACGACTGGGCACCTATCTGGGATAACAGAAAACCGGTACATGTGGTTTTCGCCGACCTAACCAAAGCGTTCACCGGTGTTCCGCCCACAGTCCTGCCTCACAATATTATATCAGCTGGTATAAGTGGACCCCTACTCTCTTGGTCGAGGGTGGGCCCACGAGGTAGGCGGCTCCACACTAAAGCAAACGGAATAGGGTTGGAGTTGAGACCACCGACACCAGGGTCATCGCAAGGAGCAATCTTATGGCCGCTTCTCTTCCTCCTGTTCGTCAGCGACCTGCCACACAGAATCTACTCACTCATCCTTCTCTCCAATGATGACATTTAAACGTGGGGTGGCGAAGGAAGGCGCCAACTGCACAGCTCTTCAAAATGCCCCGCGGCAACTTGATCTCTGGTTCTCGGGGAACGCCTTGAGCTTCAACCTGGAAAAGTTCAGGGTGATGCACATCGATGCCCACTGAGCAGGGTGGGTCGAATCTCAATAACATTTCAGCAACCATGACATCACCAAAGTATCCAAGGAAAAAGATTTGGGGCTCAACATCCCAGAAGCTCAGGATACCGGCTCCAAGTACAGAGAAGTGTCTGCCAGGGTGAAGGCCACTTTGGACTTCCAAGCAGGTAACCTAATGGTCTCACCTCCGAACTGCTTCCCACGGTTTTCATATCACATGGACAGCCAAACCCTGAGCATTTTAACGTGGCGGCTTCCTCAGCACTCAAAACAGACTTCAGTCTCTCAGAAAAATACAAAATTCTGCTATTATACCAGATATGAGACCAAGGTTAAGGCTTACTCTGAAAGGTTGAAAAACACAAACCTATTCCAATTGGGTTATCCAAGTAAGGAAGTGGCGCTATTATGGCTCACAAGATAGTCCACCAGGTAGGTCATCCAAACAAACTAGCCTTCCCTGCAACATGGTGGTCATCACAGGAAAACCCCATCATGATAGCACACCAGAGAGATCGCATCAGGTTCAGGTTCAACTATTTATCTTTGAGAGCATATGCTTTATGTAATACATAACCATTGACTGTAGTTAAGGTCCCCTTAGTAGACTCACTCAGGATACGGTTACACAGTAACGTCATTTCTTGTGGCTTACCATGATGTACTTGGGGAATTACTGATCTCAGCAGCCCCCCCTACTTCTTTCCTGCTTGCAACCCACCATCTCCCTTGTTGATACGTGCACATTATATACTATTGCTTCTCTGGCAGCTGTACCCACACTACCCATTTTAATCCTTCGGGTAGCTCCCATTTACCTATTCCCATTATCCTGCCACTCTTGCTCAGGCGCATACACAGGAGTCACATAAGGCCTACAATCTTCATAGCCATCCGTAGATCCCCATCACCCGACAAATAGCAATTACTAGCTCACAGAAAATTTACCTCACCGGAGCTAAAAATGAGAAGGGAGAAGATATTTGCTTGTCCACCGGGGAGCAAACTGCACGAATCGGGCTGAACCCCAAGAACTAGAGGCGAGAGATCGAAAACTATTATTTTCTACACACAATAACAGTGTTGAACGTTGGATAAAAAATCATGAGTCATTAAAAAGAGACAGAACTTGATAAAACTTATTATGTTATTCTACTAACTGTAATCAGGTATTAAAGACTTACGTGTTTTATTGTATTAATTCACCGTTTCGAAAGTGTACCCTGGCTCTGTCCTTGTTTACTACCGCTAATTAAAATGGTTGAGGATGCCAAATTTCTAAAAAGGTAATTTTATTTCTGTTTTCAGTAATAAATATGAAGGAAAATTCGTGCTGGTTCGATTGATGTCCATCCAACTGAAAAGGCACTTATTGTTCACTATGAAACGGAGGCTACAATTTTGGAGAATTGGGAATCCTATGATTGGTGATCGTAAAGAAAGTCAGAAAATGTAAGTGTTCACATTGTTTTTCAACCCAAACTTTTAGAATTCGTGTGAAAAATTTAAACGAAGACACGGATATCCCGGAGTTGGCCAAGAAATCATATCCAGCTGTAAATTAATATCCGAAAGCAAGTACCCTCAAGTTGAACATTTGTTGAAATACCTACTTAAGAGAAAGGAGACTGCATTAGTTAAAATCGGTATGTCTTTTTCATCTCGCGTTGGTTCATTCTTTTCAGATGTCACTTCATGAAATCCCGGATTATTATTTGGAATTTATTGCTCATTAATTAGCATGGTTTAAAATATTGTCAAACTATTTTTGACTATCTTATCTAAATTCATTACTTCTTCAAAGCCCGTTGTACGTAGAAACTCGTACACGTGAACATCCGGCAGAATGTTACACTTGTCCCCTTGGTTTTTAGTTTCACAAACGCTTACTGAAAATGGTTGTAAGTTATGTAATAAAATTTATGAACTTGATTTGGGTTATTTACTTAAAATATTCTCACCAGTGTATTAGGTTGACAGAAATATGAGAACAGCTACATGGTCGGATAATATCCGTACTCCTTGTAAGCATTCTTATAATGACTAGGTATAGTCCTCTAAACAGAAGAACTCAGTCAAAACTGATCGTTCAGACAGGATTTAAAGCCAATCACGCAGAAGAAAATTTCACACACTTCTCTTATCCTTCTAGAAAGCAGAATTATTTTATTCCATTATTGTTTACTTACTTTTTTGTCAAATTACCCGTTTCAGAGTAGACGTTCAAACACTGACTTACGACGTATTATATTCTCCAATTCTACGGATATATTTTATGAAAACACAGTATAGCTAGAAAAGTCAACCAAACCATGCAAATGTCTTAACTGTGACCCTAAATAGGCTTACATTTCAGTAGTACACGAAACAAATTTTAATGAGTTTAATAATACCAACATAATCTATCCGAATAAAAACAGTTGCTTTTGAAGCTGAAATCTTATTGAGTGTTTACAAATATTCGCACTATGTTTCCAGCAAAGTTCCCTATCATTCTTTCGATCATAAAAGATGAGTACCGTCCGCAGAAATTAGATAGATGTATCTAGAGCAGTAAGTGGTTGATGTACAACTTTTGGAAGGGTTTTGGCGTCTGCCAAAAAAGATCTATGTATGTAATCTTGTGTAGAATTGTGATTTATCTTTCAAGAGTCGTGGAATATATTTTGTGTATTATGTAGGAACAAGGATTCTGGGCTGGTTTGTAACACTCATCATCAAGATGCTTGCACAAATCTGATGATTTTAATTTAATTAGATTATGAAAAATTCTTCTCGTTCTGTAGTCGATGTTATCTTGGCCTATTGAGCTAGCTATAAGACACCGAAAGTATGAGGTATAACTCAATGTCACAATTCATAAGCTCACTGACCAAATCAATCTACTTGAATAAAAAGCTTTAATTAGTCTTTAAAAGTTAATACTACCTGTAGTTACTATCTGTGATGGGTTTTTCTCATTTGATTCATTACTTTTAAATACTGTTTATTAGTTGGCATATGCAGGGGTAATGAAAGAGTAATTACGAAGAAAGGAAATGATTAGGTTTTTTCTTATTTAGACTCATTTAGTTGGAACTTACCCTTTCATTTTTTCGAATTTCCAAGGTTGAATAACTGATCAGTTTATGCATGTCCATCATGTTTAGATGCCTCATAGAAAACTCATTCCCTGTCTCCTATGACCCTGCCATCGATTTCATGTAGGAGCTTTCAACCTCCGAACTGACTAAGTGGATCTGTAAGGACTAGGCGGGATCGTGATACCAACTGATGCCTGTTAGTTATGTCCGCCTACATACTCACCAACTGGAGTTCAAATGACACAAAGATGTATTCTATGAAAAGTCATCAACTTTGCTACAGAAAGCAAACCGTTCAGATATAGTCATAATGGCAGGTGACTTGAACGCTCAAGTTGGGGAGCTGAGGCAATCTGAAAGGCATCTTAGGGATATTGCGAAATCCCATATCAACAAACCGACAACGATGGTCGCCTGTTGCAATTTTGATTCCACAACCACTTGTTTCTAGCCATCCCTAACTTTAGGTAAAAGGGGAGATACTAACTCGCATGACATCCGCTGACTTCAGTGATGGACACCAATAGATCACATTGTTATAAGCCATCGTTGGAGAGGATCGTTGAAGGATTGCCACTCTTTCTGGAGCACCAGCTTCGACTCTGATCACTCACTCGTACGGGCTTGTGTATGTCTGCACCTTACTGGTTTCAGGAAACAAGTGACAGTAAAGCCAGTCTACGGTAGTTTGGAAGATGAAAACGTCGTCTGCATTTAGGGAAGATGTAGCCAAACATTAACTTGAACATGACAACAATGGTCATCCTGAGGAAACCTGGCGTGACACTAAATCTGCAGTAGAAACAGCGGTGAAGAGAATTGTTAACCTATACCGGAAGGTTAACAAATGCCACGACTTCATCCAAACCAACTGATCCGAGAAGAATGGTTCTAGCTGGCTCTGGACCGAAATGAAGAGCGTGAGCAAATTAAACTTAAGTGGACCAAGAGTCTTCGCTTCGATCGCCAGCAGTGGTCGGTGGCAAAAGCGAGCGAGAGAGATGAAGGCAAGGCTTCAGTTTTGGGTAACACATGGCAACGTTTTAGGCTTACTAAGAATACCAGCAAGAGGAGCACGATGGATAGTAAAACCATCACTAAAAGGGATGGAACGCTGATAACCTCCCATAACAGCAGGCTAGAACGTTGGGTAGAGCACTTTGAAGCACAGTTCAACTGGTCCTCAGCAGCGCTTCAGTTGCCCAACATCCAACCTGACCCTGAATGGGACGAAAATGTCAGTCCCCCAACTCGCCTTGAAGTTAAGAAAGCTTCATCAAACCACAGACGATGCAAACCAACAGCATCTGACAGTTTGCCGTCCGATATTTTCGAGGAAGGAGGTAGGAAATTTCTGATAGGAGTGACGGGGGTACTAGGTAGTGTATAGGAATCAGAAGTAGTCCGTTAGACTGGTTTAGTTTACTGATCATCCCAGTTTATAAGAAGAGGGAGAAATCTTCTTGTGACAACCAAACGGGAATTAGTTTGACTTATATTGTGTCAAAAGTCCCAGGGTCCATAGTTATGTGACCGCTAAGTGGAGGTTGAGAACAGCAAACTAGAGAAGACTAGACAGGTTGCAAACTTAGTTGACGGTGCATCGATCACATTTTCACCCTACGACAGATTGTAGAACAGAGAAATACCTACTGGCGTCTGACGTTTATTATATTTCTTGACCTGAGGCCGGTATTTGACTCTGTCGACCATGGTGTTGTGGTAGTGTCTAACTGTGAGTAAGTAAGTAGATAACGCTAATCAATGTTCTCTACTTGAAATCAGGCAGCCTGTAAGCGCTTATGGGGAGTTGTCAAGTGAGTTTACAAAAGTAATGGTTTTCTGCAGGGATGTCTGCTGTCACCGTTCTTGTTTGATTTCATCATAGACGTACTAATGGACATAACCCTATGTACGTCTGACTTCACAGGGATTGACCTACTTTCTGGAAATCATCCGGTTGACTTAGAATACGCAGATCGTATTGTCCTGCTAGGTGAAGATGCTGACAAAATGCAAGGTTTTGCGAACGTGTTGAGCAGAGACCTGTATGTTTTTGGCATGTATTTTACTGACACCTGCCAAATGTAAGATGATAATCCAGGACTGATCTGCTGTAAGTACTCCCTGTTTATTGATATAGAGCGAAGTGTCTGAATGTGTTGACCACTTCACTTACTCATAGAGCTGCATCAGCATGTCGAAGGGGTTGGTTGCTGACAAAATCTCACCTCGGACAAAGAAGGCTCGCTTGGGATTTGCCAACTTGCGTCAACTGGGCCTCTGGCGAGATAGGTGACTGTCTGTGAAGGGACGAGTATACGCGCTGCAGTCTATTCTGTCCTGTTGAACGACTGTGAGACATGGTCGTTAATAGTACAGGACATAAAGGGTTTTGATCACAGATGTCTTCGTGGCATGGCTCGTATCTTAATAGAATCACCGTATATGCAATATTGGGGTTAGGTGAAGGGTACTAGACAAGACAGACAAGGCGATTAACGAGACTGTGAACCTTAGTCAAATGAGATGGCTTGGACATATACTACGTATGCCAATCCACTCCCTACCTCAACGTGTCATGATAGGAAGGTTGGATTAGGTTGTAAGAGGGTTCAAGATGACCAGACCAAGACCTGGCACCAGTCTATGAAGTTGCTGACTGTTGGAGTGAGCTATGTGGGGAGATACTAAAGGTGTGGTTGTGGTCCTCCGGACGAAAGGAGTCAGTGGTTGACGACACTTGGTGACACGGTAAAATTCGGTCGCATTGGCGCAGATGTATTTACTCCTCGATATCTTCAAAAGCCTTAATATTTGTACTTACAGTTTTTTTCAGATTGTTTATTCTCTCACGCTACCTTATCTACTTCGATATCACTCCTCTATCCATCTTTTCTTTGCTTAATTCTATAAAGTGTGGCATCTTGGGTCGATGCACTTGTACGTGAGGACTGCATTCATCCTTCTTCGAACCACCTCTTGTTCCGTTAGAAATCTATCTAATCTATCTAATATTCCCCTTTTTAATGTATCAGCGGAAAAGTTTCCAACTGTAATATAAGTCACGTAGAAAGTTGTCGACTGTTCGGCCATTTCTTCTGATGATAGAATTCAATTGTCTAAAGCTCCTTATTTAATGGCTCAAAATCAGTCACCTTGACACAAGTGTATACACTATTTGTCATCTTCTAAACTAAATATTTTCGGTAGGCTACATTACTTATCCGTACTCTGTCATCTACTTTGTCTGCTTCATATAATCTTTTGTCCATCTGTTATGAAGTATGGCAAATTAAACACTATGAGGACTATACATTAATTTGTCTGACTGGTATAACAAATGCCTCAACATTTTTTTATTAGTTTTTGTGGTTTGAGAGCTTAGTAGATAATTTCCAAGCCATAAAATTGATCTATGTCAGAATATGTCGATATCTAGATGAAGAAACGTGTAGCTGGAAAGACTGGTAGAAAAAGAAACACACTTCTGAGTTTCAACTGTTGCGTACCGCTGAATATATCATCTAATATGTTTACATGATAATTTATCAATGCACTAATCAGTAACTGAGTAATAAGAAAACGTTTTTCCCTGTATATTCGATCATCACATATCATTTGAATGACAATTAAGAAATACTAAATCTATGCTTTTGGTAGCAATTAAATGTACTCCATAAAAAATAAACATGAGAAAACCTCTAGTAAATTTATCCCAGTAAAAGAAAATGCTTGTAGTAGACTGAAATTTGTGTCAACAATGTGCATTTATTATATGAACACAAGTGCAGATAAATGAAAAATTATTTCTTACATATATATATATATATATATATATATATATATATATCATTCTTGAATTTTGTAATGGAATCTAGTAAGATGCGGTATCAGGTATGCAAAAATTGCAAATACATAAACAAACTATTTTTTGCGAAAAAGAAATTCACAATTTTTCAGCAATTTGTTAAAAAAAAGACTGTTTTTCCTAATACTTATTTTGCATAACTTAGGTCTTGTTATCGCTGTGCATCTTCTAATGTTTATCTCCTCTATTTTTCAAGGACTTTTTACCAGATTTGGTAAAAATTGTTACTGAAGAAAAATTTTGTCTATTGGACACCCCAAGAGATCTTTATTCTTCTAAAAAATCAACTTTACCGAATCAAACGCTAAAAATGAACACCAGAAAACAACTGAGCGGTGAAACATTGAATGCAAAAGACAACCGAAATTCATCTTCACATATATTTGAAAGCCGTTTGAAGTTGGTCAATAATAAAACTGATGAGAATATCGATGATGATGACGATGGTGACAATACTAGCTACCTCGACGAAGACGATGATGATGAAAACAGATGCAAATCAAAAGATGAAGACTTCATACTCGAATGTCTAGGTTGCTTAGCCAACCTTGATCTTAAAGATATTCAATATAGTAAGGTGATCACTGAATTCAATTTGTTAAAATGGATTAAAAGCCGCTTAGACAGTGTGAAAGTTCGAAAATCCCGTGATTTTTTAAGCGCCACCTCAGAAATTGCTGACAATATTACACAAGTTTTCTCTCAGTCAATGTTTCCCAGTCACATAGAAGATGACATAATTTTAGAAATTGTAAGAATGCTTGGTGCTATATGTCAAGATCCTGATGCAGGTCGACTGGTTATCGAATCTGGCATTGTGCATAGCTTGATCAGTTTATTAAATGGTAGGTATCTGCTTTTTGTCAGAAAATTTTTTTCAGTTTGTTATTATAATATTTGATACTACTGGAGGTGAATCCAAGGCTCTTACAAGGATTATATGCATTTTAAGTCTAACTCACCCAGAAGAATGATAATTTTCTCAACAAATAGTTATGAGAATGACACTGTGGATTGTGAAACAAAGAATGAAACTAGTTGAAATCACTGCACTGGTGACTTTGGTTGATAGTTACTCACACTGTGGTAAAACAAAGTTCAGTTATTATGAACTAATAAAATTTAAATTCAAGATCTTTTGAATTACGATGTATTAGTGTTAAGTAGCTGTATATCTAAGTTTTATGCATTCGAGTAGAAATATCAACTTGCACCTACATTGCTGACTCTCATCCCGGCTAAACAACCTATATATTTGAACTTGTCTCAGCTTAAATACACCAATCTTGTGAACTTTTTACTCAAACTGCTGGATGACCACGTTATTCAAAAAACCAAGAGTGATCGAACCTAGACATAGCATCTACACGTCAATAAGTTGACCGTTTTGTTTGAGTCATATTGAGAAGTGCACACTTTTAATATAATCATTCCTAGTTATTTTAATGATTTAACTGCTTTTCTTGATCTTTCCTCTCTATTATGAAGAAGTATGGGAACTTAGAACTTAGAACACTGTCTGTGAAATTCTATGTTGACCTGTATTTCCTACTGAAGTCTCTAAGAGACCAGAAATCAGTTGTTCGAAACCCCATGTATTAATGGTTGGTACAGATATATCCAGCTTATATGTTAAACCTTACTTCTGTGTTTGCAGTCGTTACCTGTTTGTTTCCTTTAAAATGTTTCCATTTCTGTTTATACTCAGAAGTCCTATATATATTTTAGACATTTCCGATTGGTTAAACAGTGTAAAATGTTACTTCGTTTGTCTTCTGATAAGCGTGTAAAAGGAGTTTGTTATAATAAATTAAGTTTTGTTAGTACAGTAACTAAGTTATTATATAAAATATCATCAATTAATCTACGTTAAGATAACTGTAAACATTTTGCTCACATTTGTGTTCAGACAAATTTGAAGTCAATTATTCTGCAGTTTATCTCACCGACTGGTTTATATAAATGAATGTCATTCACACCAATCAGAACATTTTTCTAAGTTGAAATGTCGATAGCTATTTAGATTACTATTGTGGTTTTGATTAGCAGTGTTCAGTTCTTCATTCACCTGAACGAACCAAAATGTTTAAAATGCATAGTGCTGATCAGCTGAGTAAATTGAAGTCTAATGTCGTCATAATTTATGTTTAAAATTTTCAGTACATGACTAGAATGATATAACTAAGTGAAACTTATTCGAATTACGAACTCAAAAGAAGGATGTTGAAATAATGGTGCAGATCATATAGCTTGCATGTTTTCAGTATTATCATTATTATGGTGTCACGTGTTCAGTCTTACTTCATCTGCCCATTTTTTTTTATTTCTGAAGTTATTCAACAATAAAAATTTCAATGTAGTTTCGTTACTATTACCACTCATTATATTTCTTATGAACGTGTACCTCAATTCTAAGGTATATAGTTTGTTTTATCTGGTTCATATTTAAGCTTTTGACCTCTTATCATTTTCAAACGAATGACCCTGCTTACTCATATCATAGCACTTGGCACGCAGTTTTAAGAAGCTATAAATTACAGTGAATCTATTCCGTTCAATAAGTTTTGTCCTACATTGCTGAATAGATTTGTTCTTCTTCTGAGGAAGCAGTTTGCTTCCTACAATTCTAGAATTACAAGATGATACTTAAAGTTAACTACAGTCTGAATTTAAGCCTCAGGTATTTTATTTCAAAACAGTGGAAACTTTATTGAAGGCAAAATGTGGCTAGGTATATATCGAAAAGCTTTGATTTCATTCCACTTATATAGCTGACTAGCGATAATGTCTTTGTTATAGAACGATTTAGAAATAGTCTGGTGATAAAATATCAGCATCTACACTTATGCGAATGAGCCTTATCAAAGAACTTTGCTTGTCGTTAAACGCCAGACTATAAGCTCATATATTAAGTGCTCAAGCTAGTTGTAATGTCTGCTCAACTTATCATATTCCAATAGACTGACTCAACAGTAAATACAAATGAAATTGTGACACTGCTGTCAGCCCAATTAGCAATGTTGGTATTCACATGAGAACGTTACTAGCTGGAGATTTAATATTTGTGGACTGAACATTTTTCATTACTTTATCTATGTCTATCAGTCGTCGTATCCTCTTTCTTAATTTATTTCATTTTGCTTAGCTAAACAAGAAGATGATGAAATCGTCTTCCAGATTATATTCACATTTTTTCAATTAATATTTCATGAATCAACAAGAAATTTAATGGTGAAAACAACACGTGAGTATCAAACATTCTTTTATATTGTACGTTGTCGATATGTTATTATGCAGTAGAATGATGTAAAATAGGTGGTTCTTAGTAGTTAGTTAACCAAACTGATTTGGTTCGAATGATGCAAACTGAAAATGTCCCACTGTAAGAAAACGAAAAAATGTTCTAGTGTTTAGACCACGCTGGTTTAACTATTGAAATCTACAGATCTGCATCAATTACTTTTAAATATGCATGCTATCCCAGTAACGTACTTCTTCAGTACAATGAGGTTTTTCACATAAGATTCTCTTGTCAGACTTTTGCAAACCTCATACAACCTTTCACTAACGAATTCCAAATTCTACAGATTAGTCTTCATAATTCTGCTTTCTCTTTAAACTTTGTATATTCATCTGTTTCCTTGTAGATGTATATGCATATTTTCACCGTTATGATGTGACTTCAAACTTTGACATTTAATTCCAGGATATGTACTACTTAAATGCAAATTGAAGATATCATCTAATATTAAAACGGGAACAATGAGTAGTAACTTAGATGTACATGTTATTACTTCAAAAATACCTGTAAATTTGAACAAAAAAAGATTACTTTCCACGCTGATTATAAAAATGTCTTTATTGGAAAAATATTTAACCACTTGATAAAATGATAAACATTCTCACTGCATAGTCACCCTATGTTCTGCCACCACAAATACCCTATAATATATGACACTCATTCTGTTTATGTTTTTGTAAATTTTGAATCATGAGCAGCGCTCCATTTTAAAATGCAAAGATTACTACCTTACTAATATAGTTCAAAAGTTAATTATAAATAATTTGATCTTATGAGTTAAAATCCTACAAGTTACCCAGAAGACTGTTTCACTATTGAAATCTTGCCTAACTTGAAAAAGAAGTCACTGCCTTTCATTTCACTTTGGGTGCGCTATTGCAGGATTAACAAAACAATCTGGAACTGTACAACTCCATTCAAATTTAGTACAAAGAAATAGCTGTCTATTGTTGATTGATAAAGTTAACTGACGTATTTGAGAATCATATAAAAATCACTTCTAAGGACGGCAAAAAAGACCACTTAATAACTGGAAGAGAATTGAAAGTAATACTGAGAGTATAGAATTCAACCAAAGATTGAAATGGAAATCCTATGTCGGGTAGGGTAGATGAAAGTGAGGTGAACAATAATGATATCAAAGGTGGATTGACCAGTAAAAAATGATAATACAAGCAATTGTCACTTACCATCATCATATTTAAACTGCATAAAATTAGCGAACTTTCACACAATGGATCCCTAAGAATATCTCGCAGTATCTTCAACGAGTAATCTAACTGCAGATTATGATAAGAGAGTTGTGGAGAAGGGGAGGTTTCCTAGATTTTATGTTACAAACTCTCAGAGTATCTTTCAAGTCTTGTAAGTGCTAAACTAGGACCTAATGATTGTTTTCTCAAACGAGGAAGATTTCTTTATTTTCTTTCCAAGTTCGCTATCGTTTTTATCTATATACCTGTTTCCCTGTTAGTATGACATATCCAGACATCACATAATTTATTTTCATCCGAAAGTTAGTTGGCAAACTCACATTATTTTATTTTTAAGCGAATTATTATAGCAATTTAATTCTAAATTTTAACAACAATCCATTCTTTTAAAATTATATTTCAGAGGCTATAGCCTATCTCGTTGATTTGATGCATGATAAAAATGCTGATATTCGTAAATTGTGTGACATCACTTTGGATATCATTTCTGTAAGTTTCACTGTATTCATTTACAATCGTCTTTCTTTTTGATGTATAATTAGTATGCTAACGAATAATTTCTCGACTTGATGGGGATCTCAAAAGCATTTGAACAAGAATGTTGTTTCAATTGGATTCTGATTAACGTGTAGAAAGATGTGTTTAGTATTTATATTTTTAATGGATATTCGTCATATGGACTTAGGGCAAAGAAATTTTTGTATTACTAGACGGATGGAATCAATAAAATCATATAGTGGATGTACCGGAACTGATTACTTTTTTTAATTATTCAGTTTAAACAAACTTTTATTTTATTGGTTCATCAATAGGAGTATCAATCATACGAGTGCATTCATGAATTTTCTATACATATAACCAATTCCACTCTTGCTACAAAGTTAGGAAAATATTTTGATTGAAACATTAAAAATATGCTCACATTACTTAATGTGCAGCGAAACGCTTCTCATCATATATGATGTACTCACAATTATGAATGTGTCTACTCGGACACGGATATGCAAGGGATATTTAGGGTGCCAGTCATTCAGGAACAACCTTCTGGGATATCGGGGTTGAAAAATATAATATCAAAATCTCAGAGCGGTGATAACTACCGTCTTAGTACTATCTTTTGATTGGCGTCAATAAGCAGAATGTTTACCAATACAAAATAAATCTTAACTCTTTCGATTTTAAAGTCAAGTGAATCACCCTATCACGCTATTGTCAGTGTATATAACTTATAACACAAAGATTGTGTATACTCAAACTGACTTTATCTTTCACTCTTTATTTTTTATGAGCATGTGAATTTAAAAACTATTTTGCAACCCATCATATTTACTGTAGGTCTTATTAATTACTTGCAGTTTTCATATATAATTAATATTTATTGGTGTTTCAGGAGTATGAATCTGATTGGAGAGTAAGAATTCAAACAGAGCGTTTCCGCTGGCATAACAGCCAGTGGTTAGAAATGATTGGTACTGCAAATAATCCTGGTCTTCTTGACAATGCAGACAACACAACGGAAGCAGCTTTAGCAGCAATTCTTGGTATTGGTCATTCTCGATCACAATATCATCCGAATTTGTTAACAGGAGATGATTTAACCAATATCATCGATGAAGATGATAATAATAACCAAGGATATTTTGGAATGGGTTTGGGTATTGATGATGCAGCAACTTTCTTGATGTCATTACAATCGAACACTGAAGGAAGTAAACGATCAGCTGGAAGTGAACATCTATTAGGTGTACCTTATGAAGACAGTGACTATATAAATCATCTGAATATGTTGTACCCCGGTAAGCGTAAAAATATGGATGAGTTTTTCTAATTTGTTGTTATTATTGCCTTTTACTAGTCGCTATAAAACAAAAAAAGCTACAAAACGTGGCAAATAACAAAATTTTAAATGACATCAGCAGAAATAAAACAAGTCTGTGACTTGAAACTGAGACAATTGAAGATTTCATTATATTGTTTCATACTCTGAACAACTAGTTCATGGTTAATTTTATATGAAACTCCTCAATGATACTTTTAAAATGAAGACATTCATTTTTTCATTTGACCGAGTACTGCTTTTCTTGTAAATCAATGGTAAAAGCCATATATATCGGTTACTACATAAGTTCATTCAAGTATAATATGTGTGATCCACGTAGCTCGATTGATTAACTTACCTGAGTTTCTTGCTAAATCTCTTTTCTAGGATTTAAAAGTTATGATCACTTCACACGCTTCATTTCATTAGAGACCAGAAGTCTAAAAAACGGATATTTTATTATAAGATAGACTGAACTAGTTTTATATTCCGTTCTACCACACAGTGGCATTTCAAACAAGATTATTCTGAAATCAGGTCGTTAGCAATTGCTTTTACCTCGATCTCTCCTTGAAACCTATTTCATTACAACTTCCCTCCTTGATACGGGAGCCAAAAATGGACACTTACGTGATTGGGATACATTTATATATACACGTACATTTGTATTAGGATAGATGCTATTTCGAAAAAAGGATGGGGTATCATGTAATGAAATGTAAATCATATTTGATGAAATTATTGCGAAGTGATATTTTGCTTGGCGAAAACTTGAATACACTTTAAATCAAACTGAAATTGTTTACAGAGCTGTTTTGAAAAAGTGTACAATTTTTGAAAAAGTTTCTCAGATGAACTTGTATATTCATGTCTTCGAAACATAAACTGGTCTAGTGCTTAATTTGTCTTAAAATCTACCTAACCTTCATTTAGTCTGTTGAATATGTGATAAGACATCTTCATAAGCAACACAAATATTTTGGAAATCCTTTTTTTGTTAATGCAGATATGTACGGTGATGTTGATTTCTTATCAAATGAAAGAGTCAGTTCGGCTATGACACCAGCTAGCCAGTACGATTCAGATTCAGATACTACTCGAAAACGAAGTGATTCTCAGTAAGTCTGTGATAAGATAATTAAATTATATCTTAATTTTTGGCTTGTTCCATGTTAAGTGGCATTGTGACTATTTATGATCTGTTTAGTTTGAGGTTAATGGGGGTTCTATCTATTTCAGAGTTATATTCATCACGAACTAATATCGTCTAGAGACAGATCGAAAATCCCCAAATATTAAGCAGCTGTTTCATCTTAGCATGGGACTCCTAAGCTCTACATACCCACCATATTGCCAGGGATTCAACTTAGGACATTCAGATCCCGCGGCTAACGCGTCAACCATTTAACCACTGGGTCAGAGTCCAAAGTTTCCTACTTCTGTCAGTCTGCAATATAACACACCTGTCCACCAAGGTCTTCAGTTGACATCGATTTCACTTCCGACTGGTTGACCCGCGGGTCAAGACTTCTCTTTAGAACTTAATGAGTTTGTACTGTTCTTTCATTAAGTTACGCAGAAAGCATTACTCTAACTCCTTAGCAAAGTGATATTTCATTCTTCAATAAGTATTTGTTCTTCCAAATAAATTTAATTGGAAACTTTCAATTTTAGCTACTTGAAAGAATCGAGGAATATTCGTCGCATTCGGAGACTACTTGCAATAGTTTATGGGCCAAAGTAATGCAGAAGTCGATTGTAGCATGAATAGCTCAGTGGTAATATCTCTGACTGAAGCACTGGGTGATGATTTTTTGGATCTCTTAGAGGACATCAGCTCCCTCAAGAACCTAGGTCCCTTACTATTGACACTCGTCAACAAGGTGTATCTGCAATCTCGATGGAACTGATGTCCGACCTGAGACTTGGACTTACGTCACCCAGTGTTGCAGTCAGAGGGTTGCCATTGAGCTATCCTGGTCACGATTGGCTTTCTGTATGCATATGTACTTAGTAGCTATACGAACTTGGTGATAAGTTAGTAAAAGGAATATTTCTCCTCCATGTTTCACTTTTAAGATATGATATTGTTACCCTGGAGTCAAATAAAAGTTCAAGTATTAATGTTATAACTTAGTCTGGCTATGAAGACGAAGCGTTTTCGATCTTTAATGACAACCACTAATCCACTGAGGACGTTTTCCGACACTATATGGTTATTATTATTCCCTTGGGTTCCTAGTGGAACATAGGGATTCAGTACCACGTTTCCATTTCACTCTCTTCTCTGCAGTCTTTTCAACCCAGCCCCACCGCTGCCTCCGAGCTTTCATTTCTTCCTCACACCATCTCCTCCACGTCACTCTTGGACACCCAACTCGTTGTTTCCCATTTGAGTTCCACTCAAGGGACTGGCCTGGCCTGGTGCGTGATGTTTCCGAATGGTCTCCTCAGTGTATGCCTAACCCATCTCCACTTTCTTCTGCCTGTTCGTTGGGCGGTAGGTTGTTGGTTGGTTCGTTGCCAGCCAGACTTCAACGGTGCTTATTCTTATTACTCTGGCCATCTGATCTTCAATATCCAGGATGCGTAGGTAGCAGCTGTTGATCAATGTAGGCAGCTTGTTGGAAATGCTTTCCGTGAAGTGCCAAGTTTCTGAACCATCACATAGAAGCACTGACTTGACGTTGGTGTTGAAAATCCAGATCTTCTTCATGATCCATGATGAGTGCAGTGCAGTGCAGTGCAGTAGATCGCCACACCGATTGATTTCAGATTATTGAAAGCCTGTCTTGCTTTCTTTCCGATCCTGTCTACTTTGACATCCTCATCTGTGCCTGTGCCGCCTGTAGTTCAAACGATGCTATGCTGCCTAGGAAGGTAGGTGAAAGAGACTACTTCCTTCAGATTTCTCCCCTTGATGGTGATTGGTGCTCGTTGTTGATTCTGTTGTTGGTTGGGTATCTTCATCACCTCTGTCTTCTCTACGTTCACCTGAAGGAAGTCCCGTCTTCACTGCCTTTTCAGTCAACTTGTTAGTTTTCACCTGTAGATTTTCGAGTTTGTGCGACAAGACAGACATAAATCATCGTCGGCGAAATCCAAATGTTCTAGGGTCTTTCATTGGCCAAACAGTGTATGCCCCTCTTCTCGCTCCTCACAGTTCTTAACAATATATTGGAATACTGGAAAAGAAAGTCAATCCGGGAACCTGGTTAACGCATTTGCATGAATAATACCAACCTGGAAGAATTTAATCCATCAAACCACTGGAACGTGAAGTGTAAGCCTTTATAAGGTACTTTAATTGTCCTAGGAAATCAAATCCTGGTGAAAAATATTTGTGTCGATCACACGCTCATATCAATGACCTAAATGCACAGTAAAAGCGCTAAATATACCCTGAAACAATTTCTTTAGGCTTCCTTTGGAAGATATATTTGAGTCGTCTGAGTACTTAGATGTTATCAATGTTAAAACTGAAACAATATGGTGGTATAACACCACTTGTTTACTCATCATCATTAAGATTATTGACATCCTGTGTGAGTAAATACATCTGGATACTTTCATGATCTCCACACCTCCAACTATTACTGTTATGCACTGATAGTGTTCGCCTTACTTTTGAGGGTGAAAATCTTTGGTAAGTTGATATCACAGTAGAAACTTTATATATCAATTGTAAGATATTGTGATGGCAATTTAATGATCACCATACGGATGTACAACATGCCTATTGAAAGTTCGTGTCAGCTTTCTTGGACGCATGGTTGACCAGAAAGCTAAGTGATTCTATACGGAGGTCATTCCATTGAAAACGTCTGTATATATTTGTAATTCACATAGCTTCGTTTCAATATAGTATTCTTAGGGACTGATAAAGTGCTATTTACGATGATGCGGCTTAGCTGCACTAGCAATACTCTGCAGGGTAAAATCGAACTTTTGGCGAACACACTAGTGGATGATACATACACTTTGCAGTTCATAATTAAATAGACACATGTGATTTGATATTGAAACCACCTTACCATTATATCCCCAAAAAACGTGAACATCATGCTACTATGTCGAGAGAAAAAATAAAACGACATATATTTAGGGCAAAAAGTTTTTTCACTTACCGAAATCCTTTTATGCAGTCAAACTTTCCATCCTGAAAGTAACAAAACCCGTATTCTAAGATAAACCTGAAAAATTCATAAACAATAACCCCATATAGGTTTTTATATAGGTGTGAACATATTTATTTTAGAAAAATAACCGAAATATACGATTAAGGATGGTGTGAACATATCATTAAGTGGCTGCATAAAAAAACTAAACTTGAGCACCCCAATAAATACAGCTGGTGGACACATATCTTCGTCTATATTTAGACATCTTTTAGAAATGGGTTAGTAGATTAACTTTAGAACAACCGTTGAACCACTTTATGCAAGCTTTCAATGAGGTATACTTGGCTTATCGAAGCCTTAACTAGCACAACGTTCAAGTATCGACGTATCCTTTTTTGGTTATCTCTTCCTGATTTTACTACTCTAGGTGAGCCAAAATATGTACCTCTTTTTCATCCTTTTATTTGCACATCTATTACTTTAATTTATTTGTCTGACCCTATTCTTTATACATTCTTCATTTCAAATGCTGTGTGGAGTAAGCGCATTATCTGGTTGTTTTAAATCCATTACACTCATAGATTGTATTATTCAAGTGAACTTCTTCTGGGAAGATGGAGCAGATTAATCAAAGTGACTATTTCTTTTAACTTTGAAGCATTATGCAGTAAAATGTAATCAAGTAAAGTTGAAAATTTTTTTTCTCTTGATTTTCTAGGAATAGTTCTAATTATGAAAATGATAAACAAGATGATAAGATATTCAAGTCAGTACCCAAATATTTTGAATTGCGAAGCCAAACAGTAGTAAACTGAAGAAGTGAAAAAAAGTAATTCTGTAAATGAAACATTCAGTATTTAGATGATATCCTTTTATTACGCAAAAATATTCGAAACTAAAAAGCTATTCGCTTCATTTAAAAATGTGTGTTATGCAACTACAAAAGTTTCAAGGAAGCATAACGAAGCTTGTTCTTTCATTAATCTCAAGACCATTCAAACAGATTTTCTCATGTATATAACTATCCTGAATGACACTTCATTATTTATAATAGTTTGATGAGGTGTTCTCATACATTTTCTTGATTGTTTGATGACCATTTGTTCCATATGATCAAACACTTCTGAAGTTCTTCCAGTTATGGTGTGCTGATCGTTAGCATAAAGTTTGTGAAGCTGCGTTGTGACAATATAGTTACACAATGGGAAGGATTTGTAGCGCAGGATGAGAATGGTGGTGGTTTGGTGTTCTCTGAGCTTTGACTTTTTTTCATGAACGTTTCATCACCAGGCTTGGTAACATCTTCAGCACTAACTTCATAGAGAAGTGAAGTATGTTCGAATGTGACACGAATGACCAACACCTATTATATTAAGTTATTCAAACATAAATTTGATTCGTTGCTCTATGTAAATAAGAAATAGTAACGCAGTCATGGTCGAGCAAAACTAAACAGTAGCCAATTTTACGTGAAGCAACGTATTGTTATAAAACATTTCCTTTAACAAAGAATTTACGGTGTGAAAAAATTCTGTACTATCTCACCTATTTCATTATTATTTTTTATCTTTACTGGTGATCTGGTCTTGAAATCCTTTTACTTTCTTTGTTATTATAGCTAGTTAGACACAACTTGTAAAAAATTTCTTTTTTTCTCAAGTATTGATGCCCTTAAAACTTACGTGGTCACTCCTTCAAGTTATGTTATTTAGGATATCTGCACAACACTAAACTATCAAGAAACTGGAAAATAGGGTAACTAATTGTTAAAATGTTGTCCCAAATATCTTACTAAATTCATTACCAATCTGTTATTTGCTTTGCAATGCCACTTGAGTTCATTTCTGTAAGTCACTTGGCGCTGGATGATGGTTATTTTTATTCGCGTAATCTATTTAGAGTTTAGGTAGCTATTTCACAGCGGTTGTTCACATTCTCATCACATCTTTCACGTATTCTCACTATGATAAAATAATCATCACGCATACCTTAGCATTTCATAGTTAATCAATCTCTAAATAATCATAACTTCCAGCCGATTTAATGCGATAAACGTCGTCTAAGAATTCAGGGAAGTTGATTTTACATGTACCAGTGAAAATAGTGGTTTGTCATAGTTACAAGAAATGATTATTCTTCGTGACGGAACACTTCGAAAAAGTTTTTTGTAACAATAAAATTTAATGAATTACCTCCACTATTTATTTTTTTACTCATTATTATAAGCTTATTGAGGTATTGGGATGGGTAAACTGATGTGACGCAATGACCTGATCAGTAGCAGGTTGTCGTATGTCAGCAGGTAGAGCAACTGGCCAGTGGTTCGTATACTACAGGGAACTAAGTTCCTACTTCACCGTTATTATCATCTCAAATCAGGAATATCGGTCTGCTAAATCACAGCTATCTCAAATAATCCCATCGACTTAATAATCGGTAAACGTTAATAACGCATTATACCCAAAAACTAATATTTCCAGTCATACACCTGTATACTTTCACCTACCAAAGGCTATCTGATGGGCAAAGCACAAACTTAACTGTGTTACACCCAGTAGTTCTTTGATTACTGTGTGACTTGCCAAAAGCGGATTTCTTTTCATTCCAGCTTTCATACAAGAATGACTTACATATTCTACAAACTATTTCCAGAAGACAACAGTTCTAGAGTTTGGAAAACCAGAGTATATTTTGCAAATTGCTGCTTGTGATGTTTAGAATAGACAGTCCACAACTGGGTACACATTTGGGATACATTCAAGAAAACTTAACCTGCGATTGTTGATCTTTTTGAAACGCCACAAAAAGACAGTATCATATTCAGTATTGACTCACTCCACAAAATAGGAAGACCTAAAAGTAAGTTTTAAATCACACACTAACCAAGTAACAACTGTAACTCTTTGCATTTTCTTATCCGTCCTCAGTCATTCAGCCATTTTGAACGACTTATCTTTGGACAAAGACGGATAACACTGCTCTAAAACATAATCAGACATTATCAGTAAATTATTCTATTGATTCATGATCTTGTTGCTTTAGCATGTCACATTTCTCTTTGTGATTACGTCTCATTTAGAGAAAAACACAATAACCACATCTTTGGAATAGCTTGAGAGTATTTGTTTTAAGTTGATGTTGTATTTTAGTACAGTACATCATATCTCACCGCATCCATAATGAGTGTGACGTCTGACAGTGAATATGTATGTACGCTTCTTCTGCATGTCAGTAGAAGTAGACATTTCCACAACACTTTTTGTTATGTTTCCACAATTGTGCGAAGTAGTGACTTTATAGCTCCATTTTTAATGAAATACAAATCCCTTTACATAGTCTCGCGTAGTAATCACTTCCTTGTTCATAAAAGCTACGATCAAGAAAGCCAAAAGTATTCTCGCTATTCATTAAGATATTTCCTGATATCTGATATCTTTTAAAACTCTGAACAAAATTCAAAACACCTTCTCCCACAAAGATCACCGGCGTTTATTCGCTTCATCCTTTCATATTTAACTGCATGCCTTGGACTCATGTGCACCTCTTCAAGAATTACTGTTGCTAATATCTGTGGCACCACAACTCATCTGACGTAATCACAACCTGGTTGTAAATACAATTTTTTCCCAACTATTACCAACCGGTTGGAAAGTATCTGTTTAAAGTTAGCCTTCCAGCTGTTTTTTCATTTCTGAGGCCCTTCAGCTTTTTCTTTTATCTGTGTAGCGCTCAATACCAATGCGTTACATGACCGTCAATAACATGTACATATATCTACTTCGATTCACTGAATCTTCTTTGCTTTAACATGCACACAACGATCTTTGTACACAAATGATATGAATTTGACTGGGTTATGTGGAAATCCTGGATACAGGAAATACAAAGAACATCAGAGGGTTTTTAGAAGCTTGATATTCATGTCAGTCAACAATCATAAGACATATTGACGTTGACCCAATCTACCAACCTGTAAGTAACAAGAAGGTCAGATTTGAGGTCATCAGGACAACCAATCAAGGTAAGTATAGAAGCAATGACAAGACGTTGGCAGAGACAAACAATCATATCGAGAAAAGCTACTCAATAAATTGCAGAAAAAACCTTATAGCTCAATTTTTTCTGAAGTTTGTGCTTATGATATTGTCTAGAATGATAATGGAAGCTTTACGATTAAATCATCAACCTCAGAGAAAGCAACACCATCAGAATGACAGTCCACATGTTTCTTAAGCAGCCGTATAAACAAGACCTTGTAAAATTATCAACTGGTTTGGTGTGTCCATTAAAGACCACCCTAAAACATTCCTGCCTTTAAGAATATTTAAACTTTTTTAGCCACTGAAGTTCCGTATAGCCTATGCGAAGAATAGATCTCACCAGAAAGTCAGTCCTCTACTTCAGTATGGATTTAACAACTGTCAGGATTTCTACGTGATATGCAACAATTTTTCTTTATTCCATCCATTTTTAAGGCTTCACAATCAGAAACACTCCTTGCAACTCACACTTGTGTGAAAGAGTATGTTGCATCACTAGCGTTTGCAGAAAAGATGCAGCTGCCAGCAGCTAATAATGCACCTGAAATAGTTGAAGTATGAGCTCAACACAAGAGATCCTGCAGCTACATGAAAGCCTATTGGAAAGAAATCGTCCAGATAAATGCAATATTTTCCCTGTCAATTAAGTAGTCTCGTTATTACTTCAAAGACTTTCGCAAAACGAAAAAATCAGACGCCCGTCGTCAGAAACCCCTTACTTTTTTCATACAAATTGCTGTGTCATTCTTTGTCAACCGCTATCTTCTGAACGCTGAAATATTTCCCAAACAAATTGTACTCATGCTGAGCACCATATCTTTACTAATAGGGTGCACACTGCTGAGGGGTTCCATACTAAAACAAAACAGATGCTCAAGACTTCCAGTTTTTCAGTGGATGTCAACTGAAGACCTTGGGTGATAATCACTCTATATCGCGAATTGACAAGAGTTAGAAACTGTGAGCCACTGAACTCTGACCCAGTGGTTGAATGGTTAACGAGATGGCAGTGAAACCTGAAGCTCCTGAGGTCGATCCCTCGCCTGGTCGTAGATCCCTACTGCTGAGCGGTCCCGTATTAAGATGAAACAGCTGACCAAAGCTACCCAGTTTTCATTGGTTCTCCATTTGGTGTCAGTTCGTGATTAAAATTATCTTGATGTCTCATAAAACGACTCAGGAGCATTCTTCGATTCAAAAGTACACTTTTTAACTCATAAATCCTTGTTGAGCTAATTACCCCAGTTGTTTATCGGTCATTAGTATGCAGAAGCCAAATATATGTTACCGGAGTGAAATAAAAATTTTGAATCCTTAAAAGTCTTGTCGAGCACGGTATTTGCAAACAACCTTTCTTAGAGTTGATTTTCACCCTGAGATAATCTGCTAACAAACAGTAAGCTTTATCCTTTTTCTTAGCTGATAATATCAGTGGAGCCCATAGGGAATTCAATGAGTCGATGATTCCTTTTTAAATGGGTTCTTGATCATTTTCGTAAACTGAGCCTAGAGTTCTGTTAGTTGGTGACAAGCTGCTTCTCTTACTGTTGCAGATTCTTCTGTATTGATTAAACACTGTCAAAAGATAATGTCTGCATACCCTACGAGAATTAGATGGATTACTAAATCATGACTTGCAGGTATTTCTCTTACTATATCTTGATTTAGGATCCTCTCGAATGTTCGTACACTTAAGTGCACAGAATCAGTTTTCCTACTTGTTCCTGGCTATATACCAAAGCCTAATATTTTTAAGAGGATACTTTTGTACATCCGGTTTTATTTCCAAATATAAGGTCACGACCAACCATAACATCCCACTCTCTACCATTCACTACCTCATGCTAAAGCAAACCATCTGCACCCCCTGCTATTTGTCTGGTTTATTTATAAATTCCAATTCCGCTATGCTTTAGGTTTTTAGCTTCAAATTTGACAGTGGCTTATATCACGAGTGGAGCTCCTATCCTAGTGCAGGCGGCACAATTGTCAACATACTTATTCACACTGACACCTTATGAACTGTCTCGGATGGTTTACAGATCATTATATGTAACAGTTGGTCAAGGTAGCTGTATAACGTAAATACATATTTATTCCTGAGGTTAAAACGAATGGAAACTTGTAACTTTTACTCCTTACATCGTTGTTTTGTGGTCGTTGCATCAACGGTAATAATTCATGTTTTGCAGCTTAGTTGATCCTCTCAAAACAAGTTCTTAAATCTGTTCCTTACGGAAGTGTAAAAAATGGTCAGTGACTCACTATCTCCATCAATGCTATGCCAATGTGTTTATCCAGAATTCTTCAGAAGAATAAAACTGAGGGTGATTTTATCAATCTTTAAGACCAAACAATCCATTTTGCAAATACTCTAATGGGAAAAAAGTTTACTGTGGTCCCGGTGCTGATTCTTTAGTGTGAGATTCAGACAGGATGATCAGATGATATTTGATCTTGAATCAGTAATGCTTACTCACATAACCTGTAATCGCAATTATTTAGAAGTACACAAGTCAAGTTATTCAAGACTTTGTGAGTTCATTTTGCCACCTAGTCCGAATTTATTACTATCCTTTCTATCTTCGTGAGTGTTGCTTTAGTATATGCTAGGAAGTAGTTGGAATTACCTCCAGTTTAACTTGGCTTTCAGGCTCAATTTTCAAAGTCTGAAACACGACATAAACCAGTGATAAGTGAAAAGTTCAATTGGCTGAACTGTTTACTGGACATTTTGAAAAGCAGCTTAGTTGACTGGAATCCACACTAAATAAAACCTTTGAATAGAAAATGTTTTGAAAATATTTTTTTCTGCAGTTTCTTAAACTACTTTCTTTAGCATTTAAAGCACAACTTGGCAGACCAGTACACTGTAAACATATATACAGACTGCATTTAAAACACAAATTGCGTGTTTCGAAACAATAGAATAATGTTTTACAAATAAGATAACGCCTTGAGACAACTTTCACTTCGAAAACATTATTTCTTGACTCAAAATACTAAATTAACTTAAGTCTTTTGAGGTGCGACAGTATGGGAGTTTCGAAAATGTTGATTGTGATAACAGATACGTTTTTGAAGTTCCACAGTGTTGGATGAATGTATGCCAGTTCGTCTTAAGGTGAAGGTAATCCCAAGTGTTCATC